AGGGTAAAGTGCGCAAAAATTTGAAAGGTTTGGGACCTTTGCTGCAATTATCCCTTACTGATATGCATGTTTGTCATGAGTTTAGTCCTTTGTATTGTCTCTGTAGAGAATAAAAGAAGCATTACTTGTGGTTTTTCTTTATGGTTAATTTGTCCCAACAAATGGTGAATGATAAAATGGAGAAGAAAAGTGCTTAACAAAATAGGGATAAAATATCAACAGCAATTGATGGATAAAATATCAACTGCAATTGATGCTTTCTCCTCAATGAGTTGGTATGTAGGTTTGTTTTATATTACTGTGTCATGTCGGTTTGCACATATTTTTTTTTATAGTTACATGACTTATTTTTTTCTTGTCTTCAACCCAGTCAACAATTGTAGGCAATGAAAAAAGAGTAAAAACTTTGAACACTCACTCAACTTTGCTTGTTGTCATGTTATAGTCACTGAACTTTGTTTCTACCATGAACGGTCACTCAACTTACTTGAAATCCACTCCATCCATCACTATGCATAAACCCGTTTCATATGCGTCCCATGTGGCTAGACGGACTCCAGCGTGGCAAGAGACGGCGTGATAACGTTGCCACGGGAAGAGTCGTCTTCCTAAAAACAATGATTTCACCATAAAAACGAGAACACACCTTCGAATTAACGAGCCCTAATCTCCCAAAATCAAATTCACTTCCTACACAAACCTCAACTAGAAAGAACCCTAGAAATCAATTTGGGAAAATTGCTTCTCCTCAAGTCTGCAAAATCAACGAAGGGGTGTCCATTAGCACACATGGATAGAGCAGACGGAGGTAAATCATTCGGCATATTCGATTTACAATGATTTTACCCCAAATCATATATAAAACATGAAATCCACTTTCATTCCCTTCAACCTCTAAGTGTCATGAAAAGCTGATTTCCTAATAAAGTATTGTAATTTGGAGCTGTTGTTGGTCCATTTTTCCCACTCTAAACAGTTAAACTTTTAATTTCAATGTATATAGATAACAATTTTCTTTTGACCATTGAAATTGCTCCTTTTTTAGCTCCTCGTTTGAGTGATAAATATTTTACAATTCTAATACACTAGAAGTTCCTTAAAGATATTTTCTTATCTGTTTCTTTGGGTATGACCTGACATATTATTCATTCTTTATTACTTTTGGTGATTCTTGTCATTATAGTATGTGTGATCACCAGTTTGGATTAGATCTAATCTGGTGCAGCAAGTAAAGCCCGATGTGCTTCTTGGTTTGTCAGCTGTAGGAGGCTTGTTCTCTAAAGAGGCTTGTTGACAAATTACGAGTCAGCTGTGGAAGACAATGACTTGGAGTATCCATCATCTGAGGAGTTATTATTGGCTTGGAGTCACGAATAGACTACGATTAGGCCCAACAGCAAATGCACTGATCCTTCATGAAGGGAATGACTGGCTTTTATGGTTTTTATGGGGTGTAAATTTGATGGTGGTTTTTGTTGTGGATAGTTAAGTGAAGTTTATGGTATCTTTTGTGATGGAACGTGCTGTCAATGGGTTTTTTTGTTATGCTCGTGAAGGGAATTTTAAGGAGCTTTTATGCAAGTCTTTTATGTCAATTTTAAGGAATTTTATGGCAGATCTTTTTTGTATCATCTTACTGTCACAAGTGTGTATATATTACTAGTTCGAACCCTGAGAATCATAAGCATTTCAACTATGAGATAGATTCATTTTTAATAGATCCATTTTTGTGTATGTAAACTGACTCTTCCTACAGTTAAAGATGCCTCATGCATAACCGTTAACAAATAAAGAAAATCAACATCCAATGCTATCATACTTTCGGAACCCACAAGCAAGACTGAGTATGGCTAGAGGAAAGATCCGTTCACCAAGCTAAAAAGATTGTAATCAAACTTCAAATTCATGCATAACAGTTACAAAAGAAGGAAAACAACCAAAAGGTTGCAACACCACTTGCACCAAACACTGAAGGATTACACCAAACACCACTTTCATTACTTGCTCAACTTAAAACAACGTTAAGAGAATATCATAAGACAATAAAAAATGATTACATAAAAGTCTTACATCCAAGTTTTACAACATACATAATGTACTACAAGTTCAAAGACGATTACATAAACATGGATTTCGACAAAAACAATACATGTCTTCAACTCGATCATATGGTTGCAACGAAGTCGCCGAACTTTCCCCTTTCACTGAAACATGTTGGTCCATTAGCTGCTGGGCCTGATCTTGGCCTGCTTGTGCATGTCTCTATGAACAATGGGGGTTGGCATGAACCTCACGAGTTGTTCTTCAACTGCATTTTGGGTCGACGTCGATCCTTTACCTCAGAGTTTATGTAAACAATAGTAAACAAATAAATTCAACATGAATTTAAGCTTGAAGAAGCCATCTCGGAAATCAAACAAAACAGAGCAAGAACCAAGAAAGTTTTTCCAACTATTGTATCAGAAAATCCACTACATAACCATATCTCTGTTAAACATGACCAATTAAGAAAATTTTCCTTTCAGACAAGTAGTATCTAACCATATCTCTACCACAAAGAACCACAAGTAACATTATCTAACTTTGCATATATATATATATATATATATATATATATATATATATATACACGTTTATAGGATGATCAGCCCAAGTTCCGGCAATCAGCCCACCCAAGAGGGTGCTCATCAATAAAACCGCCCCTGAACAATCATATGCTACAAGTGATTCCACTCCTGTTGATTGGAACAACTCCCAGGCATCTTTTGCCGAGTTATTATAGCTTTTTGCGCTAACTGCAATCTGGATAAATAAAGCAATACTTCATCACATATATTGACAGTTACAGTAATAACCATAGTAAAAAGACAAGATTAATCAGTAGCTCACAAAATATTAAGAAATTCCACCACCAGGAACATCAACAAAAAAATAAAAAAAAATAAGAGCATTGACAAAACTCTTATGCAAGTTTGGAGACCAACAATGTCTCTGTTTTCTCTGTTGCAGTTGAGACCTTGCATGACCAAAATTCACTTTCGAACTCAAATGAAATGTCCCATTTTAGACACAGGAATTGACAGCGAGAGCGCTTCAACTGGGTCCTGGGATAAGTCCTTTCTCTTCCTTCACTGGTTTATTTAGATTACACAAAATCCCATCCTCTCCTTGGCAACTTTGCAACCAAAACTCACATTTAATGGAGATTTTTTGGGAGAAAAGAAGAAAAATTGGTAAATTACGTTTAAAATCTTACTGATTTTGGGTTCAATCAGATTCTTGATTTTTGGAATCAAATTTATTCTCCAACTCAAGAGGTGTGATCCAGAGTTGAAATGAACTCATCCAATTCTTCTTTTCACTCCAATCATTTGAACTTTTTGCCCTTTCATGTTCTTCTGAATCACTCTTCATTGGTAAAAACTCCTCCATTACTGGCCCACCTCTTCTCCATTCCATTGCAACCCTTCCCTCAGTCAAGCTCTAAATCGCTACCCAAAAAGCTCAATCACTCAAACGATTCCAGGTGGGGCGATTTTGGAAGAATTTAATGGCGCTTCAGGTGGTGTTTTCGGATTGGAAGGGATTTCGAATTGGGGAGAAATCTTCGTCGCCTTGGGGAATTGATTTGGGGGAGGGAGTTGAGGGCAATCGGTCTAGGGCGTTTCAATTTGGGGGAGGGTGTTGAAGGATTTCGATTTGGGGAGAAATGGCGTTTTTACAGCCTACTGAAATCGCGTCCTACATGGGCGTCATTGACGCCGTCAACTGCCATGTCGGTGGCCGTGAAGCCACATCGGACAGGTTGAAATAGCGGGGATGATGGGTGATGGATGGAGGGGTAAGTTGGTAAGTTCAGTGACCGGTGAGAGGCTAAATGAAGTTCAGTGACCACATTGTGAGAAGGTGATAAGTTTAATAACTAATCAAACTTTTTACTCAATGAAAAAGTCCATCGTACACTTTTGTTTTGAAGAGACTCGTGGAGAGGCTAAATGAAGTTCAGTGACCACATCGTGAGAAGGTGATAAGTTTAATAACTAATAAAACTTTTTACTCAATGAAAAAGTC